GAGAGAGAGAGAGTAATGTACAGCCAAAGGTCAGATAAAACTTACCCAACTAAAATAAAAAGGTTTTTTAAAAGTCGAATTCCCATACCCTCGCCCCAAAACCACACCCTAATTCTAACCCCAACCATAACCCTAACCCTAACCCTCGCCTTCACCCTAACCCTAACCCTGACCTTTACACTAACACTACCCGTACCCATACCCCTACCCCTAACCTTCACCCTCACCCTCATCCTCATCCTAACCCTCAACCTACCGTAACCCTAACCCTAACTTTAACCCATCTTTATTCAAACTGCCAAGACTCAAGAAGAGCGAACGCTCCCCGCCTTGTCTACTCTCCTTGCCATTGTAATCAACGGGACGTAACCACAGTAATAATTCTTCTTCAAAGAGCAACATAGTTATTTCCCTTACTAGAAGTTTCCATAAATCATATTAAATCTAGGGTTCACACCAAGACGTCTTGGGCTCACATCAAAGAGGTTATAACTAGAACTAGAGGTCTTAGCTATGACGTCACGAGTGTCAAACTGAAGGTGCACGCCGCTATTTCGGAGAGGAATAAACGGCCAGTCGGTGCACAGCAACACGCTTCAATCACGGATTAATGATACTCTGTTGATTCTTTATCATGTGATTTGGCTATCACTAAAATGTACTCATAGGGATTTCTGTGATTGTTTACCTTTAAATGAGCAGATAATATCCAAATAATGCAAATAGAGCCTTTTACAAGGTGTGACCACATGGGTGAGTAAAATTCAGAGAAAATTAATGAGATGAACTTGATCATAGCTTGTTGAAATATAAACATAATTTTATTGAAATATTATGCTGAAACAGTATGTCTAGACCTAGCACCGATAACCACAACAAGGCGCTCGTATCTGCCCTTTGGAATCAGGAATGTGACTCGGAAGCTGCTAGAAGCTTCAGCTGTAAATGAGAGAATAGCCAACCAGGTTCGTACCAACCAATAAGACCGGCGCAGTATTCTGTCTCATTTGCGGAACCGATGCCAAACAGCATGTGCAATAGCAACAGCAGGGGTTCATGGAAGATGGGGTGTTTTGTAGCCAAACACCATTGCCAATCAACGTCAATTTTAGAAAATATTGTGAACGTTTAAGATAAACAGGCTATTTATCTAAGTGTTGCATTTTAAAATGTCAGTATATAATTATTTGTGCCGGACATTAAACAACGCTCTTTGAGTGTGCGCACAAGATCCATACAATGAGTGATTTGCAGTATCTCAGCCTACAGTTAATTGCTTATTTTGAGACAATAACGAATTAATATATTAAATAATTAACCCAGTCTTAACCTCTTTCATACTCTGTGCAGACCAAGGCTTTGTATCAGTTTAAGGAGAATATAGACAACATGACATAAAAGCAATCCACTTTGTAAGTGTGAAATTGTCCTTTTTCTTAACAAATTCAATTACTCATTTTGTCTTCCTCCGCCCCTCCCACACGTCACCGGGGAAAAACAAACAATACTTTATATTATGTCGCTCTTTTCATTTGTAGCCCACGTTAAAGTGCATTTATGTTTCCTACAATCGGTCAGCGGGTGCGGTATTGTGCATGTTATATGATTACACAACAACAGCAAACAAAAAGAAAAACTTAAAAATAAAACTGAACTGAGCTCCAAACTCTAAGAAAAGTTAGGCGTTGCGAGGGACTCGTAGCGTGACAGCGCTGTTTCTAATCCTCTCTAAAATGGCGACAAAGCGAGCAGAGTGGGCCCGCACTGCCATAGTGAATTTACCTGGGTGGCCTCTAGTACTATTATAACCTCTTTGGGTTCACATTGACACTGTTACAACGGATATTTAGTTTATAGGTCCGTGTTTTAGGAGATGTTTGAATGGGTTTATCATTATGAGTTCGGGTTTGTATTTAGAGTAAGGTGTTAGAGTTATGTTAGAGTTGGGGTTATGGATTAGGGTTAGGAGTTACGAGTTTTGACGTCGGTGGCCTAGTGGTTAGGCTCTCATACTCTAAATAGTAAGGTTATAGGTTCGAATCCTGTCAGGGGCCAGACGTCGCATCCTTGCGAAAAGCACTTAACCCTTTTTTTCCACTTCAGCCAGGTGGGAACGGGTATAGACAGCAAAAGATCTTACAAGCTTGCACTGTATGCTTCACGGGAAGCCAAGAATGCTTCTCAGAGTAAGGGGTAATAAAGTTGTAAAGCCAATAGAGCATGCTGTTGAATAGGAATATGCAATATAATAATATTGTATGCAATATCATTCGTTAGAAGTTAATATGGGTTAGGAGTTAGGGGTTAGAAGTTAGGGGTAAGGAGTTAGTGGCTTGGGTTTAGGTGTTAGGGGTTAGGGGGGATTTATTGTCAGAATAACACCCCCCCCCCCCCAACCCCACCCATACTTTTGCTTCTCATGTCTATGAGCAATGTATTTTCAGAATGTGCTCCTGTGCAACTGGAAAGGGGAAGCAAATAAAGCATTAAAAAATGACAACAAAAACTTTATTTTTCGCTTTTTTATAAAGCTAATTAACAGATTTCTTTTGTTTTCGGGTTTCTTTTTAACGTCTGGTTCAAATAGCCATATAGGCTAGAAATTAATTCCTACCAAACTGAAAATGTTTAATATATTCCGGGCGTTCATATGACTTTATGCAATTGCAAGCGCCGTAAAACACTTATCAGAGCAAACAAAACAAACAATATAGGCTAGACCTCATTCTTTGGCCCTACCACTAGCCAATGTCTTTTCACATAACCAAGCCATATTATACTGCATCTCACAAAAGGCAAGCTCTAAAACAGTTGCAACTCTACCAGGTCAGTGGGTATTTGACGTGTGCTCTCGTGTGGTTTTCCCCCTTCTTTCCTATCAAACATCTATCGGCCATAATTATCTCTCCTCCTTCTTTTTGTGATACGATTTTCTTCAAGTTCAATTTGTCTTTTATCATGATTTCATGAGGTATTTTATAAACTATAGCTATAGGTTTGACTTATATATCTGTGTGGCCATGAGTTCTTCAAGTTCAATTTGTCTTTTATCATGATTTCATTAGTCAATTTTATAAACTATACCTATAGGCTTGACTTATATATCTGTGTGGCCATGAGGCTAAAATCCGAGAATTAACTCAATTTGTCAGACCGCCCCATATAATAAATATAAAGAAATAACGTATTCTTCTCACTTATCTGAACACCAATGTTTACGCACATACACTGTTATAGTTGAATGTTGGTCTACCCATGACTCTTTCCTCGTGATGCACAGCTTCTCCTGGCTCCTTACTGCTATCTTTCAGCCACACCCCTCATCTTAAGGTAGGTGAGTTCTAACACCAAGCCTTCTCGGATAAGGCCGAAAAAAAGCTCGTGTGCAAGTAGTGCATGTTTTAATATCCATTGGTGGTGATAGGAAATCGACAAAGTAGGCTTCGTCCGCTACGGGGGCAAAATTCCAAATTAATTCCTACCAAAATGAAAATACCTGAGGTGTTCCACGAGCTCATAAAATCGTATGCACTTGCAAGAGTGTAAAACACTAATCAAAAACGAAAACTCGGTTAATTTCTTTTTCTTGACGTTCCCCTACTAGATCTCAGGGGTAGTCGATTGCTGGTTCTTTAACCTTCAGAGCAACTGGTTATGACGTATGTGACCGTTTTTCCTTCTCAGAGGGGCCCCTTGCCTTCAGGCAGCCATATGTATTATTCCGATTTCAAAAGCACTCTATGCGGGGGTTTTTTATACCGACTAGGGCATGTTCAGTTTTAGTCAGACTTAATTTAGAATTTTACCCGCGTGGCGGCTGAATCCTTATTTCTTTTAATTTATCCATGCGGTGACGGTCAGTCAAGTCATAGTTATGTTTGTTTGTTCGAAAACTCTGAAATTGAATCAATAGCAACAACGCAATAGATGTTAACATTCACGTTGAAGTGCAGTCATTCTTGTTTTGTTACCATGTGGGATTTTTCTGGTGGTTGTTTTTTGTTTTTGTTTTTGTTTTGTTTTGTTTGTTTGTTTTTGTTTGGCTGATTGTTTTTGTGGGGAGGGAGTGGTTCTTTGGGATTTTTTTTTGTTGTTTGTTTGTTTGTTCGTTTGTTTTTGTTTGTTTTGGTTTTTTTGATTGTTTGTTGTTGTTTTTCATTAATTTGTTATTGTTTGTTGTTTGTTTGTTTTTTTGTTTTGTTTTGTTTTATTTTGTTTGTTGGGGTTGTTTTTTTTTGTTCGTTTGTTTGTTTGTTTGTTTGTTGTTGTTTTTTTGGGGGGGGGGGCTCAGTGTTCACAAAGAAGAAAAGGTCTAAAAATTCAGTCCTTCTGGGAGGCCATTTCTCGGAAAAAGCCTCGTTCTGTCGTTTAACTTTTCTGTTATAGCTTGTACGTCCTCTGACGGAAAACTGTAGACAGGAGGAGGAGGAGGAGGGGGAGGAGGAGGAGGAAGAGGAGGAGGAGGAGGAGGGGGAGCAGCAGAAGTTGGAGGATGAAACGGTTTGAGCGGACTAGCAGGATGACCCATTTTCTGAGTTCTGTATTCCTCAAAATCAGGCTTCTTTCTTGACAGACCCTCTTCTTTCGAGCTACTACTATCCATCACACCCACTGAGTCCACTGTGACAGCAGCTGCAGTAGTGACGTCAGAATTGTCATCATACCGAGACGTCCGCTCCCGCAGAAAGACTTCTTGTTGGGCAACGTCCGGTGTCTCGGGGAGGCAGAGGTCAATGTCATCAGTCTGGGTTGAGGCACATTTCGTAGGCATAGTGAGGACGGGATTAGGTCTCGGACGTTGGCTACTTGTGAAAACAGCGCGAGGTTTTGATCTCATCTTTTCTTTCCTGAGCCTAAGGAGAGGGAAAAAATAGCCCCCCAAAATGTTAGCATAACAAAGGAATGAGAAAACATGGAATTGGGAAAATTGTGTCTCGGTTACTCAAACTGGAATAGATAGATAGATAGATAGATAGATAGATAGACAGATAGACAGATAGATAGATAGATAGATAGATAGATAGATAGATAGATAGATAGATAGATAGAGGGACGGACGGGGGACAGACGGACAGACAGATAGATTTTGCTTTGCTACTGCTATACTGTCGTCGAGCACAGAGACAAAGCTAAACTGAACAAAAGAGATGCCGAACTGGAAAAGAGGAATTAACTCTTCAATACCGGGTAAACCGGGATGACAATGGCAACATATGGTGAAATTGGCCATTAATTAAACAAGGAAACATGTTATTCCTCTTTGGCCATTAATTAAACTGGGAAACATGTTATACCTCTTTAAAAGTACCTTAGTAACATTTTAAATTATCTCTATTACTTGGTTTCTTATAATTCAAAAATCTTTTTAGATATATACGAGTTTATTATAATTCAAAAATCTTGTTAGATATGTACGAGTACAAATGAATATTCTTTACCCCCAAAACAGTTCTGCAGAGGAACTCAGTGTTTAAGATCAATTATTGTGGAGAGGAACTGTTAGCCCAGTTAAAGCCATAGGGGTGAGTTTATTGGGGGGGGGGGGGCGTGCTTATTTCGACTATATGTAGGTCAAATAAGTACGTCTTTTGCTTTTTACTAGATAAAGAAAACGAAACGAAGTTAAGTGAACAAGACGCGGAAAGAAACGCGGCAGAGATGAGTAAACTGCGAAGGAAATGTGTGCGTATGTTTGTTTGTTTGTTTGTTCGTTTATTTGTTTGTTTGTTTATTTGTTAGTGTATGTCTTCATCTGTTTGTGTCTGTAAGTTTCTGTTTATCTATATTTGTGTGTCGCCCCTGCTAGTGGGGGCCCCATAGTTTTACTATGGGGGGGGGGGGACAAAGAATACACCTGCCGTGATACTGCGTGTCGTAAGAGGCGACTAAAAGTGCATAGGTCTGGTCGCCCGAAAAGTGCCAGTTTGCGGAGGGCCAGCTACCCAACCCAGTAAAAAACAGTAACACGGACAAACACAACTTTTTGCTTTTTCGATCTTGGGAGACGGAGGAGCTTCTGCATCAGCAGGAACAATGAAGGACCGCGGACAAAGCCGAAAGGACTCTTCTGACCCGAAACCTTCTCTGTCGAACAAGTCTCTCCGGATTGCGTCGTGGAATGTTCGCACCTTGTATGAAACAGGAAAGAGCTCTCAAGTAGTACAAGAGATGAAGAGATACAGACTGCACATACTAGGAGTCGGCGAAACACACTGGATACAGTCTGGACAGAAGCAGCTCAGCTCGGGGGAACAAGTATTGTATTCTGGGAGGGAAGACAAGTACCATGCGGAAGGAGTGGGAATCATTTTGAGTAAGTATGTACAGAAGTCACTCAGAGGATGGGATCCACACGGGGAAAGGATCATCATGGCTTCATTCACTACAAGAAGCAAGAGCATCAACATGAATATAGTCCAAATCTACGCCCCAACAAATGATGCTTCGGATGAAGACAAGGATGCCTTTTACAGCCAGTTCCAGGGGGTCATCGACAAACTACCAAGGAAGGATGTCAACATCATAATGGGAGATGCCAATGTCAAGATTGGTCAGGACGACGTGGGGTATGAAAGAATTATGGGACAACATGGCTTGGGACAAATGAATGAGAACGATTCGCAAATATATGTGCTTTCAACAGTTTTGTTATTGGAGGCTCTGTTTTTCCTCACAAGAGGATCCACAAGGCCACATGGGTTTCACCAGATGTTGTGACAGAGAACCAGATAGATCATTTTTGTATCTTTCGTAAGTTCAGGCGTTCACTGGAAGATGTCAAAGTACAGAGAGGGGCTGATGTTGGATCGGATCATCATCTGCTGTTGGCAAAACTCAAGCTTCGACTCAAAAAGCACGGAACCACCACAGGAATCAAAAGAACGAAGTTCTAAGTAAGTGTCTTGGGCGGACATAAGAAAGAAGAGTTTCAGCTGCAGCTGAGGAACAGATTTCAACCTCTGGCTGGTCTTGGCGGAGAGGACACAGGGGTGGATACACACTGGACCAAGGTCAAAGAAGTCTTTACATCAACAAGTCAAGAAGTACTCGGTGTGAAGTAATGGGAGCACAAGGAATGGATTAGCCAACACTCATTGGATTTAATTAGGATAAGAAGACAGCTGAAGGCAGAAGTGAATGCAGGTAGAACAAAAGGACCAAGAGTGGATGCATTGGAGCAGTACAGGACAACAGCTAAAGATGTCAAGAAATCAATAATAAAAGACAAGGAGGAATTCATGAACAGGCTAGCAGAGAAGGCAGAGGAAGCAGCGGTAGGAGGGCACATGCGAATCCTTTACCAGACCAGAACGACACCTGCTGGAAAATATGGGAAACCTGAAGTACTTGTAAAGGACCAAGAGGGGAAAAGCATTTTTGGAAAGGACGCTCAGTCTAAACGATGGGTAGAGCATTTCAACACTCTCCCGAACAGACCACCACCGAGTAACCCACCAAACATACTGCCAGCAAGAAATGAGTTACCTATCTACTGTGATGCTCCTTCAAAACAAGAGATTCTTGATGCCATTAAGAAGCTGAACAAAGGTAAAGCGGCCTGTTCCGACCAGATTCTACATGAAGCCCTAAAAGCAGATGACAATGTGACGGCAGACATCCTCCTCCCACTGTTTACCAGGATCTGGAATGAGAGCAAGTTCCCAAAGAATTGGAAAGAAGGACACCTCGTGAAGCTTCCAAAAAAGGGGGATCTCAGCAACTGCAGCAACTACAGAGGGATCACTCTTCTCTCAATACCAGGTAAGGTCTTCAACAGAATCATTCTGGAGAGAATCAAGACAGGAACGGATCCAAGACTACGGGATGAACAGGCTGGTTTCCGGAAAAATCGCTCAACCACCGACCAGATTGCCATTCTGAGGATTATTGTGGAACAGTCCGTGGAGTGGAACTCCCAGCTGATTGTCAACTTCCTTGACTATGAGAAGGCCTTTGACAGTATAAACCGAGCGACACTATGAAAGATAATGAGACACCACGGAATCCCACAGAAGTTGGTGAACCTCATCAAGAGTATGTACGAAGGGACAAGTTGCAGGGTTGTACATGATGGCCAGCTCACTGACAGCGTTGACATCAAGACTGGTGTGAGACAGGGAAGCTTACTATCACCGTTCCTCTTCATATTGGCAGTCTACTGGCTGATGAAGGAAACCACCAGAGGACACAGAAATGGTATACAGTGGACACCATGGACACAGTTGAGCGATCTGGATTTTGCAGACGGCTTGGCGCTTCTGTCGCACACCCAGGAACAGATGCAAGCAAAGACTTCAGTACTAAACAGCATATCGGAGGCTGTTGGATTGAGGATCCATCCCGGAACGTCAAAGGTCCTAAGGACAGATGCACAACGAAAGGAGCAGGTCACAATAGAAGGAAAGGCACTAGAAAACGTTGAATCCTTCTACTATCTTGGGAGTATAATTGACAGAGAGGGGGGAACAGGTGCTAAAATAAAGTCCCGCATTGGAAAAGCACAGGCTGCTTTCATACCTTTGGATAGGATTTGGAAGACCAGAGGTATCTCACTTCGAACAAAGCTGAGGATTTTCAATTCAAACGTGAAGTCGGTCCTGTTGTATGGATGTGAGACATGGAACGCATCACAGACTTGCATAAAGAGGATCCAGGTTTTCTTGAACAGGTGTCTAAGAAGGTTACTGAGGATCAGATGGACAGACAGGCTCACCAATGTGGATGTGTTAAGGAAAACAAGACAGATCCCAGTCAGAGATGAGATACGAAGAAGGCGGTGGCGATGGATCAGACATACTCTCCGGAAGTCAGGCAGCTGCATAATAAAGAAAGTTTTGGATTGGAACCCACAGGACAAGAGATCAAGGGGAAGACCTCGTGGGACTTAGAGAAGAATCACAGAAATCGATGTACAGAAAAATGGGAAGACATGGAATGACATCAAGAGGCTAGCCCAGGATAGAGAAAGGTGGAAGGTGTTTGTCCGTGGCCTATACCCTGGTGCAAGGTGAGAAAGACAATGATGATGATATTTGTGTGTATGTGTGTATGAGTGAGTGTGTGTGTGTGTTTGTGTGTGTATGTGTGTGTGCGTGTGTGTGTGTGTGCGTGTGTGTGTGTGTGTGTGTGTTTGTGTGTGTGTGTGTGTGTGTGTGTGTGTGTGTGTGATCATATAGGATATGAGTATGCATGTGTGTTTATGAGTCGATCTGCCTAAATGTAGCCCATGTTAATATAATTAACAACTGTGTGCTTATCGCCCCTCTTCTCCTTCTGACCTGTGTCTGTTGACCTCTGACCTCTCCCACTGCACATTCCGGTAGATCAGCACAGCACTGGCGATAGCCAACAAAGTACAGAAAGCTGTGAGGATGTAAACGATAATCAAATCATCCATTATAATCCGCTGTAATAATCTCGAAGCCCCAGTCCTCTGAGGAAGAAATAAGAAGAATAAATCGGAGATGGCCACACAGTAATTGTAACAGTTGATATGTTACGAAGATGACGACACATATAACATAGTAATTGTAACGGTAAATATGTTACACAGATGATCACACAGTTATTGTAACAGTAGACATGTTATACAGATGACCACACAGTAATTTTAACGGAAGATGTTTTACGGAAATGGCCACACTGTGTTATTGCAACGGAATATATGAAGCTGCGATGTAATTGAAACAGTGTTAAACCAGCGTTCCGTCTGTCCTCACCGAGTGGCATTAATTTTTAATTGAAAAAAAAAAGATTAGCTTAAATCATCAGTCCTTCAGTCCTTCATTTCGTCCACACGTCAAGAAAAAATCTGGCGCTGTCTGTTGACTTTCGTAGCGTGCGGCTGGACGGCATGCCAAGCGACGATGATAAATTTCTTGTTTACAAACTCTTTTTTTCTTTTTTTTCGGGGGGGGGGGAGGGGTAAGTGATATACGGCGCTCGCAACTGCACTAGGTCATATGAGGGCACGGGACACATTGAGTATTTTCAGTTTGGTAGGAATTAATTTTTGAATTTTCTACGATTATCGCTTTTTGGGTTACGAAAGAATCTTTAACGTGCACAACTTGCACACGGACCTCCGAGATTTTTTTGCCCTTATCTGAGAAGGCTAGGTGTTAGAATTTACCTACCCTAAGATCAAGGGTGTGGCTGAAAGAAAGCAGTTAGAGGAGCCAGGGAGTAGCAGTAGAAAGGCTGCAAGGAGAGTCAGTAGCTCAAAGGAGGGGGCAAAGAGGGAGGGGTGTAGGGGGACAGAAAATGGAGACGAAGGTAGACAATAGAACATGGTTAAAGAGCAGGAAAGGAGACAATTTTAGGATAGAAAATGTCTCATTACTGTCAAGTTTCGAACCCTGCTTCTATTGAATGAACGGCGAACACCAAACCTTTAGACCACGAGAGACCAAGCAGACAGTCTTAGTTCACAAAAGTTAGTTTAGTCAGGTTTTACGCGCTCGCAACTGTATAAGGTCATATTGCGCCAAAGGAGTGGATGTCAACAGAGAAGTCCAAACGGGGAACCAGATTTACTCTGCTCACCTGTCTATCTAGCCTCAACAGCACAAAGTCTACTTCGACTATCAAGGCACCCCGAAAATAGCAGTTCGCAAGAGAGTAACAAACATACAAAAGAAGTGTGGAAAAACGACAATAGTAAGGATGAGGAATGAAAAAGCAGCAGTTTTCCCCTTATGTTGTTCCGGCACAGTTTGAGCATGATAAATCAGCTCATTCACAATAAAAATTCCACTGTGCATAAGAACATGCTAATATCTCCCCTTTGGGAATAGCCCGTTAGACACTTCGCTTCGACTGCCATGCTGATCGTTGTTAAGTGCGACTGGACGACATGTCAAGCTCCGGTGATAACATTGTCGTTTACAAACTTATCGAAAATAACGTCACGTCTTATCGAAAAAAAATTATCAAACCCGGAACCAGTGTTTCAAAATTAGCCGAAATAATGACTTGCGAGTGGATCTACATGTACTTAGAAGATCACAAAAAGTACTCTAAAGGTGGGGGGGTGTTTGTTTTTTGTTGGTTGATGTTGTTTTTGTTTGTTGTTGTTGTTGTTGGTTTTTTTAGGGGGGGGTTGTTTGGGGGTTGTTGTTTTTTTATTGTTGTTGTTCTTTTGGTTGTTGTTGTTTTTTGGTTTGTTGTTGGGTTGTTGTTGGGGGGTTTTTGGGGGGAGGTTTGTTGGGGGGGGGGGTTCTACCAAGACGACATCATGTGTTAGGATAGTTGCCATTGTCATTTCGCTTCTTTTCTGCGTTTGGTATTACTATGTAGTGTTGTGCTGTCCGTGTTCTGTACTTATTGTAGTTCTTGTAAATTTTGTTTGATTTACATCATACGTAAAGAGTAAAGTGCCAGTAAGTCAGTCTCCACAAGTTTATCGTTTTATAGAGTGTTTGTGAATTATTAAGTCTAAACGTTAGGGGTCTAAAGTCTAAAGGTTCGGATACATGGGACGTTGGATACATGGTACAACTGCAGTAACTCATAAACCGTGCGATTCCGATGTGCCATACTTCAATGAACATGTAGCCTCTGTGACGGAACGGCCCTCGAATTTGTTCCCGCCCTCGGCTTTCGATTTCCTTTCGAACTGTGGATCTCCAAACGTTTGATGCCGTTTTTATTGGATTTGCTGAAAGACAATCTCTTCGTCTTGTTACAAGCAGAAACAGAGAAGTATTACAAGACATTATTTTCCTCTGTTGTCATTATTTCAAAATGCACGTACTGTTTTTGTTTTTATCTTTTGCAAATCGTAGAACTTGCAACCACATGTTGAATTTCATCAGGTTTGGGTTGGGATAGATGAGATAGAAAAGACCTTGTTGTTGGGATGTTTAGGACACTGTGTGATGACAGTTATTTTCCTTGTTGTTACTCACATATAAGATTATGATGATACTTTGTCACTGATATTGACTATTTGTTTCTTCAGATCATGCCTCAAAACTACCATCGGAAAACAGAAAGAAAGCACTTGGTGAAGAATATAGTTGCTGTAGCCTTTCAGATATAAAACCTATCTTGCCGAATCCCTCACTTTTGGGCCCTATCTCCAGAACTAAAGGGAGGATGTCTTTTCTCTTCAAGTTTACAGTTCAAGTTCAATTGATTTAAATTACTTATCAAAGACAAATTTCGGTTAATAGATAGCGCTTGTCAGAATAATTCAAAGTTTGTTGTTCATTGTTTGTTTTCCCCACTTTTTAAAGTGCTTCACCCCATTTGTGGATTCTATTATAGTTCTAATTAAAGACCACGTGTACATGTATAATCTACATGTCTTGTCCGTTTATTGATAGACATAGACAACTTTATTTACTTGTCCCATGTATCCTTTTGTTTTGCCCCATTCATCCCTCCCCTGTCCCATCCACCCCAGCTTCTGATGATATTCGAAACAGTCGCGGTGTAGAAAAACCGATGGGCTTTAGTTGACACCAATCTGCCAGTAAACACCCCAAGGGGACATTCTTTTAGCACAAGTCAAAGGTTTATTTACAACATGAAAGGTTTCTGAGATACATCACTTTGAGTTTTAAAAATAAAAAAATATTGTCCCATGTATCCCAACATTCCCCTGTGTTATGTGTTGTTTTGTTATTGTTGTTTTGTTGTGGGGGGGGGGTTGTGGGGGGGGGGGGGGGGGGGTTTGGGGGGTGTGTTAAAATTGGTGTTGCCGGTGGTTAATTTTGGTTGGTTGGTTTGGTGGAGATGGGGTTGGGGGGAGGGCTACCTTTATTCAATAAATATAGAATCAAAAAGTTTTTGAGAATTTTTAAGGCTCCAAACCGGGCCCCCCCCCCCCCATTCCCCAAATCGACAAAATTTTTAATCATTTAGGAAGCAGGCTACGACCATGCCTGTCTTGGTCAACCCGGACTGGGAGCAGGCCGGATTTAGGCATGTGCTAGGCGTACTTAAGCACAGGGCCTTGGAGCAAAGGGGGGGGGGGGGGGCTCGGGTCATGGGGAAACTATGACCAAGTGGGCCTCGAGTTGATGAAGGTAACCAGAAACAGGCGTAAAAATTGTAAAAAGAAGGAACAACGTGCAATAAACGAAATGTAACTAAAGACTCTATTCTTTTTAATTAAAACTGAAAATAATTAGTTTGACCCCTAAAAAGAGAATCTCGCAACATCCGATGTAAACATGTTTTTCCTGCCAAACGCTGTGTTGGAGCAAAGCCGTTCTATCTAAATCTAGTCCAGGACTATCCTCCTTCATCGATGTACTAGACTAGACTGTAACCAAAGATACTGTAATCTAGATCTAGAATCAAGATTCTACTCGTAAGGTAGGTTGGGATAACATGGTTTCTGCACCGATAGGCCCTATTTCGACTAGAAAAAAAGATTAAATGATGCATTTGATTAAATGAAGGGTAGATTTAGATGTAAGTCAAAGCGGGGTTCAGAGCGGGGTTTGGAATTCAGAGGAGAGAAAGAAACTGTCTTTTTGTTCACCAAGCAATGGAAACGTCATGGGATTGTGAGAACTTATAACCAAGTTCGACCCGTTTCTACATGAGCACATCAAGCGGCATGGCAACAGAGGGCCCGGCCAAACATCTCATTAGTAAAAAACAGTTTGTGAGGAAATAATACAACTGATGGCCGATAACGTTAGAATTTGATTATCGATGACATCAAGCAAGCAGGGCAGGCCTGCTTCAGTATATCAGTGGACTCGACACCCGATGTTTCACATCATGTTGACCAATCACTCTCATCGTTAGATTTGTATTTCCCGAGGATGGGATTCCTACCGAAAGGTTTTTACTTTTTTTTTAACTTCAAGACCACACGGGAAATGGCATGGCAGAGCTGATTCTTAATTATTTTGATGAAATTGGAATCGATTTCAGTAAATGTAGAGATCGGTCATTCGACAACGCGGCCAACATGTCTGGCAAGTATAATGGAGTCCAACAAAGAATTTTGGAGAAAATAAATTTTCAAAATTCATTCCATGCGCGTGTCATTCTCTTAATCTTATAGGGCGTGCCGCTGTTAATTAATGCTTAGAGGTAGTTAATTTCTCTGGGATAGTAAACGAATTACATGTATATTGGTTTTTTCTCTGCTTCAACAAAACGGTGGGCCACTCTAGAACGCTTCTTATCACCAGAGTCCACAGTCGCCCAACATTTATTTGATACACGGTGGGAGGGTCATGCAAAAGCTACTTCTGCAGTTAAGGATAGCTACACTCAACAAATAGAGGCTTTGCAAAGCATTCAAGAAGATACCAATGAGAAGGGTGGTACCAGACGAAAGGCCGGAATTCTGCATCAAAAGATGGAAGAATAAAATGGGAATTTGTCTGCACGCTACATCTTTGGACAATTCTGCTTGCACGTTTCCTCAAAGTCAGCAAGACATTGCAGAATCCTGAAGTGACGTTGAATACTTGTGCCAATCCTTATACTTCTCTGCAAGACTTTGTCTCAACAACTCGGGACGACTTTGACGAACTTCAGCAAAATGCACAGCAAACATTGCCAGGTGTTGACAACAAAACCCCCAGAAGAAAAAGTATAACCAATGCGGGTAATGACGCACTAGACAACATCCTGCCAGGGACAGGTTCAAAGTAAAATCTTTGATTACAACAATTGACGCTCTCTCAACCAATCTCCTGAAAAGAGCAACTGTATACAAAGAAGTGTCAGGGCAATTTTCATTCTTGCACGAATTAGATACAAGCAGAATGAAAATTCAAGACAATGTTGAAAAACTGACTGCACAATACCCGAATGATGTGGACCCCAACCTTGCGGATGAGCTTGTGCACTTTCAGGGATATCTGAAAAGAATACATCCTGAAAAAGAAAAATATAGCTAGCAAGAAATGTATAACGTGCTCACGAAAGACAACATTCAAGCAGTTTTCCCCAACGTCGAGATCCGCCTCAGACTATTTCTTACCCTGATGGTGACAAACTGTAAAGGCGAGAGATCATTTTCAAGACTGAAAAGAATAAAGAATGAAGCAAAATCTATAATGGCACTGAGGAGGTTGGCAGATCTCAGCATCCTGAGCTTATACAAACTCAGGAAACTGGATTTCAATGACATCATTGAGGCCTTGGTAGTAAAAAAAAAAAAAGCCAGAAAAAAGCCTTTGTAGTTTAATATTTTAGGGTAAGATTTGTTCATTTATGACATGATATGCCCAGCTATCAGCGGCAGCAGCAGCGGCAGCAGCAGCAGCAGCAACAGCAACAACAACACCAGCAACAAGCGAATATGTTTCTTTTCAATTTTTAAAAATTTTTTGGAATAAGGTTTATTTGTTTATTTTTATGGGGGGGGGGGCATGACGGGAAAAGGGGGTGAGGAGGGGGGGGGGGCTCCGTAGCTGATCAGTAGCTCTGGGCCTCGAGTTGCCTAAATCCGGGCCTGACTGGGAGGGATACGACAAAAATCCCCCCATATTGGAATCAAACTCGGTCTTTTGCGTGCTACAGTAAATCATGAAATGTTTATAATACCGCCACAGCACTGTTGCCGTTAAAGATTACAGTACATGTAACAGCTGATAAGAAGAGAGAAAAAATCAGTAACGAGAACATATTTTTCAAGTGTGTAAACATTTTGATCGCCTGGCGACCAGGAACAGATGATATACTTCAGTGCTTCGCAGCATGCATTAAAATAACAAACCAGTTTTACGATATATTTTTTTTTTGGGGGGGGGTGTTTGTTAGCTTGTTTGTTCGTTTATTTGTTTGTTTGTTTGTTTTTGTTCTTTCTTTTCTTTTTCTAAATGTAGGTGGTTTTTACAATTTAGATCATTACAAGTAGGCGGGCTTCCAACCTTGCCTGTCAGTGTCAGGGACCAACCCTGACTAAGAGGGTTACAACATCACAGCAGAAAGACTGAGATACTCGCTAAAAATTTACTCGGGAACTGAACTCGGGTCTCCTGCGTGCTACAGCGAAGAGCGTAACAACCACTACACCACAGGCGCCGGAAGGCTGGCTGGCTATAAGCCAAAATTTGTCTCAGAACTGTCAGTTCCAACTGTACGTGTAATACCCACGTTCGAGGGATGGGCGATTCAACATGTTCTTATGCACAGCTTATTATCAACCATCCACTTTTTGATGTCATCAATACACAGACCCATCGTAGTAAGCAAGGTTTCAACATCTGATGGTGGAACAGATTTATATAACTGTGTATCGTCAGTGTACATGTGATAATTCATATTGTGCTTTCTAATCACAGCTCCAAGCGGCTGCGTATATAACGTACACAAGATTGGACCCAATACTGAACCTTGAGGCACTTCAAAGTCTAGCTTAAAAATTGACGAAAGAGAGTCGTGCACAACCACAGATTGTGTACGACCAATCAGGTAGGACCTAAACCAGCCAAGAACCCTGCCAGACAGGCCAAACGTGTTGAACAATCGTTCAATAAGAACAGTGTGATCTATAGTGTCAAAGGTAGCACTAAGATCAAGAAGAGATATGACCTTATGCAGTTGCGAACGCCCTAAAAAAAACTTTACTAAAGCTAAACTACAGACTGGGATACTGCACTTATAAGACCTTATTGTGTTGCAAGTGCCGTAAAACTCCTACTAAAACTACAGACAGGGATACACGTAGATCTATACGACGAAAATAACTTCCCCATACGGCAATCAAACTCACCTCATCTGTCTGCTATGGAGAAAAACGTAACCGTTACACCACAGTTCAAATACATGTAACATGTAAACAGTTAGATTGTAATGTTAAACAGTCCTTTTTCATTACTACCCCCCACCCCCCCAACACACACACACACACATTATGTCTATCTTCATTTGTTATGCAAGATTTCGCTATTTTGAATAATCCTTCCCTCACCCTTTTCAGAATCGGGGATATGATTTAATTCTTTAAAAAGTGACCAAAACGTTAATTTTATAGATAATCAATGTAATTGTATTGATGTGTACAGTGTCAACTAAAAAGAAGAAAAAAAGGGTTATATAGGAAGAACAAGAACAAGAACAGGAACAGGAACAAGAAGATGAAAGAAGGAGGGGGCACTGACGATAGGAGGAAAAGTTGAAGGTGAAGAAGTAGGAAAAAGAGAAGGAGGGGAAGGGGGGAGAGACGAAGAGGGGGAGGAGGAGAAGAAGAAGAAGTAAGAGGAAGAGCAGGGGGGGGGGGGGTCTGAAGGCAATAAAGTATAAATTCGCTGTCTACACTTTGACATTTTAATGCAAAATGCTAAAGCGCATAATTTGTCTACCCAAGGCTGTAAAATGTTGGTCTTTCTAGAGGAGAAGAAGAAGAAGTAAGAGGAAGAGCAGGGGGGGGGGGGCTGAAGGCAATAAAGTATAAATTCGCTGTCTACACTTTGACATTTTTAATGCAAAATGATAAAGCGCATAATTTGTCTACCCAAGGCTGTAAAATGTTGGTCTTTCTAAATAGACACAATCGTCCTCAAACAAAACGAGCGGCACGATTCAAAATCAGCATAAACTTCCAGTTACCAACAAGAAAATGGAACAAGTTAGAAAATATACATTATGTACTTACACGTACTTTTGAAAAGATTGCTGATGTTGTACCGTAGACCTGTGCGATAAAATCAGCCTCATAAAGATATTATGATTATACATGTGCAATGTGCATGTAGGCCTATAGTATCCAGTCTTATAGCACCTTCTACAACAATGAAACACTGCTGGAAACAATGATAACTGAACACAAGTAGTTAAGTTAAGCTCAGATAGTTCAACGCTCAGATTGGTCAACTGAAATAGATCGTATGTGTTTTCAAGAGTTCTTATCTAAGTTTCTCTGTCAGGCCTTTACTATCTGGAATATTAAACTAAGGGAAGTGTAAAAAAAAGGGGGGGGGGGGGAGGGGGGCAGGAAGTTGCACCCACTCCAAAAAAAAACCAAAAAAAACAATTGGCCACCCGCTGGAGTTCGAGAAACTGATCCCGAATTCCCCACTCCCGTCGGTATTGATTTTGGCGGAATGAGGGAGTACGGGTGTAATCAATTTAATGCTCGCTTGACGTGCATGTGGGGGTCGAGGTGGGGGGGGGGGGGCATGAAAATTAATGTGTAAGGAATACATACACTTGGGGCAGAAAAAGAAAGAAGTATTCGCGAAGAATGAAATTACCATTGAGTAGCTAGGTTGTCAAGAGAGTTACAAACTGTTCGACTAAAAAGATAAAGTTTGGGGGATCTTGTGGTCTGAAGGTTACGGTGTGACGGCACGGGGGGAAAAGGAGGTTGGGGGGGGGGGGAGGGAGCGTTCTTTGCCTCCTGTACTACTAGCATACTCTGACAAGTCCGCGTTCTAGCGTCAGACATTACACCGATCTTTATCTCGCAGACATGACGGGGGGGTTCTTTGTTGTTTTTTTGCTGTTGTCTGTTTGTTTTGTTTTGTTTTTGTTTTAAAAAGGTTTTACGGCGCTCTCAACTGCATAAGGTCATATGAACGCCAAGGGGTGGATTTCAACAGAGAAGTCCTTACATGAAATCAGACTTACTCTACTCACCTATTTAGCTTCAACAACACAAAGTTATCAAAGCACCCCGGAAATAGCAGGTCACAAGAGTGTGACAAACCTACAAAAGAAGTAGAGGAAAAATGACGATAGAAAGGATTAAGAAAGTAAAAGCAGCAATTCCTTGCTGCAGTCCAGGCACAGTTATGAGCATGACATTGATGAATCAGCCCATTTACAATTACAATTCTATTGTACATAAGAACTCAAGATGTTAGTGTTCACCCTTTGGGAATGGAGTAAAGACGCTTCAGTCAGTAGCACCGCCGCGGGAGGGGGGGGGGTGTTGTTGGGTTGATTTTTAGTACACTTCACACTTCACTACACTACATGTAATTCTGTCCCCGTGGTTTTATGCAGCCCGCATAATTTAGCAAAATTTGATAATTTTTTGCATTATTTCTGATTATTTCCCTATATAATTCTTTGTTAAAATTAACAGAATCCCATAATTTCACATTTTTGGGCCCAGTTTGCATAATTTCAGCTTTTTTTTGCATAAAACCACGGGGACAGGTAATTCCGAATCAATAAAGCATGATTGTTTTACGTTAGCTGTGTGATGTGTCTAATGTCTAAGTGTTCACATCCTGTTAATGCTCACGCGCATGCGTGTTTGTGCTGTGAGTGTGTGTGTGTGTGTGTGTGTGTGTGTGTGTGTGTGTGTGTGTGTGTGTGTGTGTGTGTGTTGTTTCGTTTTGTTTTGTTTTTTGGTAAGTGTTTTACGGCGCTCACAACTGCATACTGAGCGCGCGGGACACATTAATACATTTTCAGTTGGTAGGATACTTTGGCCCGGGTGGCAGCCGAAGCCTACTCCAAGGGATCGTTAACGAGCACAACTTGAGATCGGGACCTCCAAGATTTTTCGCCTTTGTCGGAGAAGGCTCTAGGCTAGGAGTAGATCTTTCCTACCATAAGATCAGCGGTGTAGCTGAAAGACAGCAGTAAGAAGGAGCCAATGAGTAGCAGTAGAAAGGCTGCAGAAAGAGTCAGAAGTCAGAGGGGGGGGGGGGGGGGTGAGGGAATGGGGGCAGAAAGTGGAAACGAAAGCAGACGACAGAATACCAGAAAAGGAGGTGAAGGGAGACCATTTTAGAGAAAAAAAAATTTCCGTCGCTACACGGATTCAAACCCAGGACCTTTGAATGAGAGGCGAATACCTTAACCTCTAAGCCTCGAGAGCCCCGTGTGTGTGTGTTTGCATGTATATGTGTATGCATGTGTGCGTGTGTATATGTTCGTATATGTATGTGTGTTTGTATGTACACGTATGTGTGTATGCGTGTGTATGCATGTGTGTGCGTGTTTGTATGTGTGTGTGTTTATGTGTGTGTGTGTTTGTGTGTGTGTGGTATATGTGTGTAAGGGTTTTTTTGTTTAGTTATTGTTGTTGTTTTTCTGTTTGTTTGGTTTGTTGTTTTTGTTTTTGTGTTTTTTTAAGGGGCGGGTTGATTCGTTTGCATTTTGTAGGACAATCTCATGTGCACCGGCAATGACACTCCCAAATGTAGTGTCACACCTGTGTGCATCTGTAGTGGCACAGGAGGTGTGGAAAAGTAACACACAAGGGATAACATTGTAATTATAAGTATGGAAAGAACAGTAAAACATATCAATATCACATTCAACATTTCCATTGAATCATGGGCGGGCAAGATTCGTCATCTATTGGATTATTGAATAAAATAGACAGAAAACCCGAGTCAAATCTTTTGGAGCAAAAAAAAAAGGGAGGGGGGGGGTATTTCCTCTCCGGAAAAGCAGATACAAAGATCTTTGTTTCATTGTGTGCTGATGTGGTTTGTCTCCCTCTGTATTCTGTCAGCGATGCAGTACTTTATGTGGTGCCCCCCCCCCCCCCCAAGCAATAGAAGAAAAGTTTGTAGAATGTTTGTTTACACACGCACGGATGAGCGCACACACGCGCGCACGCACACACACAACATTTCATCAACTTAAAACAACCAGGAATTTCCTGATAAAAGATCACAGCTGAGTGACAAGGAGTCCCTGTCGCAAGAACATCAGCAACAACACTTTTAATGCGGCCACATTGTTCTGTACATGTACAGCAATAAGACGGTCCAAAGCCCGTTAAATCTGGCCCCGCGGAAAATTGTGTTGAAATACAAAAATTGCAAACAATTGCAACCTTCCCATCCCAGGTGCATTAATAAGGGCTTAAAATTTTCAGGGGAAAAAAACATGACAATTTGAGAAGCATAAAAGCAGAACAGCCTTTTAACAAATCATGACGCACAATACAAATTGTATTAACATAATTTATTAGTAACAACACACGAGTACGTTAACAATAAAGTTATCGTAATAACTTTAAAATGAATGCATAAAATTTGACTAAATTTAGAACTTACCGGGCACTTGGTTCATGCGAAGATCTAGAAGTGTATGAAGTTTCATAAGGTTTAGTTTATAAAACTAAATGATTTGACAGGAGATTTTCGAAACAACCTCTAAAAATACAAAATAAGCTTAATATGCTCCCATCAATTCAGATTCTGTTCCATTTTTCTCTTGAAACCTTCTCTACGGCCGGTAATCTGTATTTAGATCTCTTTCAGATATTTTCTGTTTTAATACCTATATGGTATTGTTTTAGCACAAAGTCAAATCGTAAAATGCAGCAAAAAACATTTTTTTTCTCTCATTTATAAACAATAATAACAATAATGTAGATCATTTCTATAGCGCCGACTCCCGTGTGAGCACATCTGAAGCATAAATGCATGTACAAACAAAATTCACGCGCGCACTCGCGCACACACACTCTCTCTCTCACACACACACACACACACACACACACACACACACACACACACACACACACACACACACACTCACGCACACCTTACACGCGCACACACACGCACACCACACCACACACACACGACACACACTTGCTTATCATACGCACACGCTTAAAATCACACTCATTAGATCTATGTCTCAGTTTGTGTTGTATTCCGGCCTGAATTTCTGGTTATAACTTTTAGAGTACGGCCTATACGTTCTTATAGGCCTACTAACCATCTGGCGTCTAGAGTACGGCCCAATAGGCTAGAGCCACAAAAGCTGGGCCAAGGAGGTTACAGTAAGCCGATCCCATGATTCATGTATCGGCTCCGTACTCACACCATTTCTTACTAAATATTCGATCAAAATTAAAGAGTTGATGTATTTTTTTCCTGAAATTGCCAAAAATTGCTGGTTTATCACGGAATTCGACGAAAAACGCTGCCGCGATTTCCTGGTGTGTGTGTGGGGGGGGGGGGGGGGGGGGGGGGGGCAGTTAAACGCGGATGATTGAAAATGTGCAGATCTCTCATTTCCTAATCCGAGTCATGAAATGTACATTAGTGAAGCTCAGTCAGTTCAATAACAGTACCTAACAAGCTCTTATCTGCAACTCCTGTTGAGTTGATACTCAATATGTGTGTGATATCGTGATAACATCTAAATCAGGCGTTCGTCAAAAATGATGAAATCCAAGAGATTGGCATTTTCCATCTTGTTGGACAATTTTTATCAATATTTTTTCCCAACTTCTTTAATGCTCATATTTTAACAAATGTATTTCTGTGCGTACGTTATTGAAAAACTTTAACCAACGTATTTCTGTGCGTATGTTATTGAAAAACTTTAAACAAAGACACTTTTAAAAATCTACCAAAAGGGACACTCAAGCTTTGGAAGTCACCAAACTGTGTCGGCCATTTTTTCACTACTTTTTCCTCTGACATCAGACGACCCTTACCTCCTTCAAACGCAGACATCTCGATTTCCATTCAAGATAGAGGGATATCTTTTTAATCTAAAGCGAGGCAATACAGAAAGCTTTGAAATTAATACCAAAAACTCCATATGCTCAAAAACTGACAAGAGCCGGACACCACTGTGTCCTGACCCAATATGACACAATAGAATGCACGAAATCGATCAGTTGGGAAGGGGGGGGGTGCAGGCTGTCGTGGTCTAGAGGGACGGTGTTCGCTTCTCATTCAAAGGGTCCAGGGTCCAAACCTGGCAGCGACGAAAAGTTTTCTTCTCCAAAATGTTCTCGTTTCACTTTCACCTTTCCTTTTTCTACTCTCTAACCAAGTTCTGTCATCTGCTGTCGTCTCCATTTTCTGCCCCCCCCCCCCTTCCACCTCTTTTGCTGTTGCCCCATCCTATGGGCTCCTGACTCTTTCTGCAGCCTTTTTACTGATACTCCTTGGCTCCTTCTTACTGCTTCTAATGCTGTCTTTCAGCCT